ATGCATTTTTTTTTTTTTTTAGTTTTTATTTTTTCCTTTATTGGCAACTTTGGATGCATTTTTAGGTTTTGGTTCCCAAAGGATATTTTTCACAAATCTTGAAGCTGCACCTCTACCCAGCTTGCCAGCCTTTTTCTTGTGTGTTGTTTCCTTAATTCTATTCATGTGTACTCTGATTCTTTCCAATTCCTGCTTTACTGGATATTCCTTAAGATTAACTTGCTGAGTTGCCAAATAAACCCAAAACAATGAATTTAATGTGTAAGCAGAAACTAAATCCACTTTTGCTTATTCAAGAGGGTCCAACTTTAGCAACAAGTCATTTCTAGAAACAGACATTATGGTCTTCAGCATCTCATCCACAGCACCAATGGAATTCTCAATTGTTGATAAATACTCCTGATAAATACTCCTGAATTTCTACTGAGTAGTCTTTGTTAATTTCCTCACCTGCCATTATGACCAGCTTGCTGGCCTTCTATTCCTGTCTCTGGAGAGTGCAGTTTTTAATCTGAAGAATTTGTTTTATATTATGGAAAATTCTTAGCTATTGCTATTTTTGATATTTCCTCTTATCTAATTTTTGCATTTTACTTGTACTAAAATGCTAAAAATGAGCATCCATAAATACACTACCCTGCTTAAGAACCACAAACACTACCATGCTATAGAGTCAAACTTTGTTCTTCCCTGCTCTTGTCCCTTTCCTACTTATTTTTTAGTTTTGCGTGACTTTTCAGGTATAAAGGTGATGTCATACTAAGTCTTCTTTAACTCACTAGTCTTAAAATCTAAAATTAGATTTCTAAAGTGAATCTATGTTGTTGAGGATATAGTTCATTTATTTCACTGTTATATACTATTCCACTGTAGGAATATATCATTCCATTCTCCTGCTGGGTTGTTTTGTGGGCTTTTTTTTTCCTATTGTAATCAATCCTGCTATGGATATTTTTATGTAAATTTTCTGGCACATAAATGCAAGGGGTTCTCCAGGGTATGCATTTAGGAGTGAAATTGCCCATGTTGAACTTGAGAAAATTCCAAATCATTTTTCACAGTGATTGAGTCAATACACTATAGCTAGTAATGTGGAAAAGTTCCTGTTGTTTCCTATCTGTGCCTATATGCTATTATCAGACTTCTCGTTTGTTTGTTTGTTTTTGTTTTTGCTTTTATTTGTTTTGTTTTGCCAATCTAGTAGGTATAAAATGGCATTATATTGTTGTTTTAATTTGGTTTCCAAGATTACTAATGTGATTAAACTTTTTATCACATACTAATTTGCCATTTATGTTTCCTCTCTTATGAGATGCATGTTTATGTATTTTGACCATTTATCTGTTGAGTTTTGTGTCTTTTATTGTTGAAAGATTCTATTTTAAATATATACTAATCCTTAATCCTTTGCTGATCATAGCTGTTAAGTATATCTTCTCCCTTGTATTGCTGCTTGTACTTTTTTCTTTATTTTTTAGGTGGAAGCGATGGAACTAGATACTTTATTTTCCTCACCAGTTATAGCATGACAACAACTTCCTAACATGTGTTATAGTTAATTCTCAACTTTTTCTTAAAGAAAGGTTGCTTTACCCCTTCACCCGCCATCATTTTGAAGGTCAGTTTTGTTTCCTTTCCTCTCCAAATGAAATTTTCCACAGAGCTCAAGCAGATCTTTCTTCTGACATCCTTTTCAAGTCTGTTAATAACATATAGTAGAGGTAGGGACAGGAAACAGTGTAAGTAGGGGCCACTACTCCTGAGGGCAGAACCAAAGAGTCACCCACTATTTTCAAGATTGACCTAAACTTCTTTGTCTTGGCTTTAGCAACATTGGCTTTAATATCTGGGGCCAGTATTTTACAACTTTTTGAGATTTATGATCTGTTTCACTTTGTCCATAGTTTTGCCTTATCATATGGACACCAAAATGTATGCATTCTTTTGGTTTACAGGTGTTTCTCTTCTGCCAACTCAGGAGTGCCTTGGCAGAGGCATACCTCATACTATGCCACCAATGGCATTCTATTTTAGATCTTCAGAACCTTCTGATTTCAGTTGCTCATGAAGCCTGAAATCTCCAGGAGCATCTAGTTGGACTTACTCTGAGCTAACTATTGCATAGTGTGTATTTGACCTGAGGTTTACCTCTTGAGGCTGTTACCCGGGAGAGTGCTGATGAGGACCTTGGGCTTCACTGTTCACTCCTTTAAGGATTGAGACTCCCCATCAGTAAATAGCCTGTAGCAATTGATTAGGAGGATGGTGTCCAGAAGGGGTGAGCAATCAGAAGTAGCATGTGCCAGGGAGCAGGAAGGTCACATGTGGCTCTGCAGACAGAGGGGGAACTAGATATCACTACTAAGGAATATGTGAACAAGTTTATTTGATTTCTTTGGATAAATTTAACTTTAAAAAACCTGTTTGGAGGTATAATTGACATAAAGAAACTAATCCATACTTAAAGTATACAATTTGATACACTTTGACTTATGTATTCCTGTGAAAAATTACCACAACTAAGATAATTCATTACCCCCAAATGTTTCCTCCTATAACTTTGCAATTCTCCCTCCTATCCTTTCCTGCACCTCCTTCCACTTCCAGGCAGACAGAGATCTATTCTCTGGCATTATGTATTAGTTTACATTTTGTAGAATTTTATGTAAATGGAATAAAAAGTACCTTACTCTGCCTTAGGGGGTGGAATTCTAGGTTCTTTCACTCAGCATAATTATTTGAGATTCATCCATATTGTACATATTGATAACTTTTCTTTTTATTACTGAGTAGTATTCTACATCAGTATAACAGTTTGTGTATTTATTTGCATATTTATGCATTTGTATTGTTTCCAGAGTTTACCACTTACAAATAAAGCTGCTATTAACATTCAAATACAGGTCTTTCTGTGGACATATGCTTTCATTAGTCTTGGGCAGATACTTAATAATGGAATGACTGAATCACATGGTAGATGTGTTTAACTTTAGAAGACTGATAAACTGTCAAAGTGATTCCACCATTTTACATTCCCATCAGCAGTGTATGAGAGTTCCAGTTGTTTCCATATTCTTGCCAACACTTAGTATGATTGAATTTTTTATTTTATCTTTTGTAACAGGTGTATAATGGCATCTCAATTTGGTTTTAACTTGTAATAACAAATAATAACTGCTAATAATAATAACTGATGATGCTGAGCACTTTTTCACGTCTTGTTTTTGCAATCCAGATATCTTCTTTGGTAAAGTGTCTATTCAAATCTTTGCCCATTTAAAAAATTGAATTGTGTTATTTCCTTAGTTTATTGTATTTATTTACTGATGTATAGTTGACACACAATGTTACATTAGTTTCAGGTGTACAACATAGTGATTCAACAGCTCCCTATGTTGGACTGTGTTCACCACAATTGTAGCTACCGTCTGTCACTGTATAACGTGGTTACAATAGCATTGATTATATTCTCTATGTTGTGCCTTTCATCCCTGTGACTTATTCATTCACTTCATAACTGGAAGCCTGTACCTCCCATTCCCCTTCACCCATTTTTTCCATCTCTTATGCCCCTCCTCTCTGGAAACCACCAGTTTGTTTTCTGTATTTATGGATCTATTTCTGCTTTTTTTTTTTTTGTTCATTTGTTTTGTTTTCTTAGATTCCACATATAACTGAAATCATATGGTAACTGTCTTTCTCTGTCTGACTTATTTCACTTAGCATAATACCCTCTTGGTCCAGCCATGTTGTCATAAATGGCAAGATCTCATTCTTACACAACTGAGTAATGTTCTATTATATATATATATATATACACATATATATACATATTTTTATAATATATAATATATTTATATATTATAATTATGTATTTATATATATATTTAATTAATTAATATATGTCATATCATAGACTTTTAAGTTGCTTCCATATCTTGGCTAATGTAAATAATACACCCCCAGTATACGTTGTTTTCTCATAATTGAATCTTGAGAGTTATTTATAAATATGTTATAGATACAAGTCCTTTATCAAGTGGATGATTTGCAAATATTTTCTCCCAGTCTATGGCTTGTCTTTATTCTCTTTCATAAAGTAGAAGTTTTTAACTTTGAGAAAGCCCAATTTATTATTTTGTTCTTTTAATGCATCAATATTTTGGTGTTGTATCTACAACATGAATTTTAATGTCAAATTTTCCAATGTTCCTTTTATGGCTAAGACTTTTTGTGTTTGGTTTAAGATATAATTCCAAGTCTGATGTCATAAATATGTCACCTTATATTTTTGTTAAAAGTTTTAAAGCTTTTAATTTTTTATTGATATGGAATTGTTTTTTATATATGTTGCAGGTAAGGAACCCATTTCATTTTTTTCTAAATGAATACTCACTTGACCAAGAGTAATTTATTAAATAATCCATCCTGTCCTTATTGCATCAATTAGATAAACTCAGTTATGCTGTAGTAACAAATAATCCAAAAATGCCTATGACATAACATAGTAATAGTCTATTTCTCAGCTCATGCTATATGTGTGAGACAAGTCAACTTGGACCCTAATCATCATAGTCACTCCCTGTTGCCAATGTTGATGGAAGCTCTGTTCTGATATATGCTTCTAGAATTACTTTGAAAGATGAAGAGAAACACAAATTAGTGACTGGCTTTTGAAGCTTTTTCAAGGAAGTAACATACTTGTTCTCACATTTTTTTGACCAATGTAAGTCACAAATTCACACCTACCATCAAAGAGAAGGAGAAACTGCAATCCTTTCAGGTACCTAGAAGGAAAAAACAAGGAAATATAATAATAATATAATATTAATAAATAAATAAATAGTATTAATAACTATATTAATGATGTATCTACAAAGGTACCTATGTAATATATCTATTTTCATATGTGTGTGGATTTGCTTCTGAGCTTTTTATTGATCATTTTTTCTATTCTTTTCTAACTTGAATTGTACTGCAATTCTTAATTACTATCGCTTTGTAGGTTTTGGCATCTGCTAAGACAACAAGTCTCTCCAGAACAGACTAAAGGTAAGAAATAAGGACATAAATAAAACTTAACAAAGATGAAAGGGTTAAAGTTCTAGGGAATACAGCATGAGTTAGGAGTCATGAGTTTCTTGTGGTGACTAAGCTAACCAGGGATAAAGGGCATAATGAGAAGGCATCAAAGCATATAGGGTAGGAGATGTTCTAAAGTGATTTTTATTCAGGAGTATAACTTCCTTGAGAATAGAATCTGTGCCTGATTTATCTTTTTACCACTGATTGTTACCCTCCCCCAGTCAACAAAGGACTTGACACTTTATAGGTGCTCAATAAATAAATATTTATTGAGTGAATTTTTGAATGAATAGTTCGTGTTATATAAACTCATAGTAACAAAGAACACCTTGCTCATGGATATTCACTCCTCTTCTACTTTTTGTCACTATCTCAGAGAAAACGAGAATGTATATTCGTGCAACCATTGTGGAAAACAGTATGGAAGTTCCTAAAAAATTAAAAATAGAACTGCCATATAACCCAATAATTCCAATGCTGGGTATATTTACACAAAGAATATAAACACATTAATTTAAAAAGATATGCATCCCTATGTTTATTGGAGTATTATTTACAAAAGCCAAGATATGAAAACAACTTAAGTATCCATTGATAGATGAATGGATGAGGAAGATATGTAATGGAATATTACTCAGCCATAAAAAAGAATTAAATCTTGCCATTTATGGCAACATGGGTGAACCTAGAGGGTATTCTGCTAAGTGAAATAAGTCAGACAGAGAAAGACAAATACCTTATTATTTCACTTATATGTGGAATCTAAGAAACAAAACAAAACAAACAGAAACAGAAATACAAAGAAAAAACTGGTGGTTGCCATGGGGGGTTGAATGAAATAGGTGAAGAGGATTAAGAGGCACAAACTTCCAGTTATAGTATAAAAAAATCTGCAAAGTAACATGGACTTTAGAATTTGGCCCTTTGACCAGCAGTCCAACAATGCTACACCCCCTTAGGTAGCCAAATAATCCTTGGGGGACCTGCTAGACAATCCTGTAGTATGACATTGAAAGAATATGTGGTCTCCTTTTTGCTTTATTTTAAGCTTTGGAAAAATTCCGTAATAATAGTGTAACCATAATGGTATATACTGCAAAAATATGTAAGAAGATGTCTTGAGAAAAGAATATTTTCTCTTGTGCAACAGTGTTATGCTCAATTGATACCAAGGTTTACACTCTTCAGGCAGAGATAGGCTTTTTCTCCTTAATCCTTGGCAGATCAGAGTTATGGGGAAGGTTTTGTGAAAGATATGAGGCTGTATCTGACTCATAAAGTAGAGATTGAAATAAAGAATGTGACATTAGAATAAAATAAAATAATGTGGGTCGCTATTAGCTAAAATGTGGGGTTTTGTTTAATTTTGTCTTAGCTGTCTCTTAAGACAACAGATCAGATTTTAATAAAGAAAAGAACAAAAAGAGAAGAGGGCTGTGAGAGTCAAAGAACAAAAGAGAATTTAAAAAAATGTAATTAAAATCACATCTGCCTGAAGGGGCTCAGGAGATAACATTCATTCATTCATTCATTCATTCATTCATTCAAGGCCATATTCCCATTCTGGCAGAGTGTCTCAGGCCTGGAGATGCTACAGAGGACATTTCAATTAGTTATCATGCACCATGCTGTCCACCACTCACACTCACATTGCTATATAGTTTTAATAGAGATGCTTGAATTTGTTCTGAACTAAGAAATGTAATCTTAGTTACATTTGTGAACAAAGGCAGGAGTCAAACATCCCTCAGGAGTTTAAGCTTGGTGGATAGAACTTGCTGGTAATATTGTGGGAAAGGCACTAAATTTGGTGTATGAAGAACTGTATGCAAAGCTGACTCAGTTAGCAGTGATGGAATTGGGCAAGGCATGTAAGTTTTCAGGGTCTTATTCTCCTCATCTGCAAAATGGAGCAGTAATACCTATATCATGGAGTTGCAGTAAGAATTAGATTAAAGAAGGTATCTTAGTCTGTTGGGGTTGCTATATTAAAATGGCACAGACTAAGTGGCATATTAACAACAAGAATTTACTTCTCATAGTTCCGAAGGCCAAAGTCCAAGACCAGACTGCCATCATGGTCAGGTGAGAGCCCTCTTCCAGGCACAGACTTCTCATTGTATCCTGTATTCAGAGAAGGGGCTAGGGAACTCTTTGGCCCTCTTTTATTATAAGAGCACTCAATCCCATTCATATACTTAGAGCCTCCTATAGGCCCCACCTCCTAATACCATCACTTTGAGATTAGATTTCTAACATACTAATTTTGAGAGAAAGCATACATTTGGACCATAGCAGAAGGTATATGAAAGTACTTTGTTAATAATTAATGTAAAGGAAAATCTGGTTTTCTTGATCTTGCCCTTTGCTGGCCAGGAAGTTTCCAGTAACCTGATGAATTGGCTTTTTCTTTGACCTATTTTCCAGAGCACAGTGATTGAAGCGTAAAATAACCTGCCATTTTCAAGCACAAGTCCTCTAGCTATGCTCTATATGGCCTTTTATTTTAACTATCATTAAGAAGTTCCAAAAAAAAAAAAAAAAAGTTCCAAGCATTCTTCAGGAAGAAGCTGGAACAGATTTCTGCCTGTACCTATAACTGTTTTATTTTATTTTATTTTACTTTTTAAGGATAGGCCCAACACATCTGGACTATGGTGGGATGTTTAGAGACATCATTTTTTGAAAGTCTTGACAGGAGGATTTGGAGCACATGTTGCATGCCCTGTCACTTTTTACTTCCATCTGGTAAACAGAAGCCTAGTTGGGACTCACAAGGGAGAATGATTTATGCATTTTAGTGGAGACCCCATTTATAACATTCATAAAGCAAGATAAAGTCAGTGGGTTATTTTATTTATTTAAATACTTCTACTCTGCCTCATTCCACAAAAGATTTGAGGGAGTTGGGTAGGAGAGTTGATTGAGAGCTAGTATATTACTTAACAAGCTGTCAAAATTATAGTGAAATTAGCTCTAAGTGTTGATTTAGTTGTATTCTTTGTAGAATTTATATAAAACAATATATGTTACAGTGGCTATGTCTATACAGAGAAAATTACATGAAAAATATGTGTGCAATTCAAGATGCTAAGGACAATTCTTTCGGTTTCAATAGCATTGACAGCATTGACATATAAATATATGCATATGTGTATGTATATATATAAAATATCATATATATATATGATTTTTCTTGAATTACCGAATTTCATGGTTTCCTAGTTACTGTGCTCAGTATTAGTGGTTCATTGACAGAAAACTTGAAGAAACACTTTATCAGGCAATTTTTTCAGGGATACTCCATCAGCACGAAACTGAATTATGAGGTCTGTCAGTCAGTAAATGCTTGACCAGAACTTCTGATTTCTTTACTGTCATGTATTTCTTAGGCAGATACCATTGATGAATCAGTACATTCTGTTTCATGTATATAAAACCAGTCTGATGTCACATCTTATTGTGTATATACATTTATCCTTTGTTCTGAGTAGGTTACTACATCTGCCCTTGTTCATGGAAGCCAGGAATCCTTTTTCACTTTGTGGGTATTTTATCATCTCCAGGACTAAGTTTAATTGGAGAACAGTAATACTGGGGGAAAAATTGATTAAGGCCAGATCTTTCTTACTTCTCATTATTTTAAGAGAAACTGAATTTGGAACAGGCAGACAAAGTGGTCATTCATTAAATACTTTCCAGGAAGTAAAACATATTTAAAGTTAATTCCCCAATATTTGAGGTATATATAACATGTTAATCCCTACCTGTACTTGTATTTTTTATACTTTCATTCTCTCCCTGCCATTATTAAGTGCAGCATAAAAATCTTTACTTTAAAAAAAATTAACTAAACCCATTTAAATAAATTTATTTTGAGAGAATCCTATTGGGAACTTAAAATGACTGGGTCATTCTTGAGTGTTTAGGCATTATTCATGAGCTTCTACTATGCATGAGACGCTTTGATAAGGCAGAGGATTTAGCAGAGGACCAAATAGACCTGTTGCCTGCCTTTATGATCTTTACAGTTTAGACAGGGAGAAAAACAGTAAACAACTAACCACAAAAATAGGCATGTATTAAGAAAATGAAATAAGTACAATGAAGGAAAAATACAGATTTCTATGATTGAAAATAAAAGGAGCAACTAATTTAGATTGAGAGAACAGGAAAAGCTTCTTTGGAAATTACAATTGAATGGGTAAAATACTGGAAGGGTTGATTGAAGGTGTCTAAGAAATGAGAGATTGTCAGTATGTCTGAAGAATTAGTGATGGAAGGAGAGAGTGGAACAAGGCAAAACCAAGAGGTAGATTCAGGTCAATTCATAGGCAACTGAGGGCTATGCTACAGTTTTAAAATTTGATCTTAAATGCATTGGAAGTCATCGAAGGGTTTTAAAGAGATCTAAAAAATATATGATTTGTATTTTTAAAAGATTCTCTGACTTCTGGTTGTGTGGAGAATAGACTGCAAAAGAACAAAGGTGAGGAGAGATGAGGTTTTTCAATGAGGGATATCTGTTAGAAGATTACTGCATATGGCTAGGTGAGAGATGATGGTAATTTGCATCAGGTTAATGGCAGTCAGTGGAGACAAAATGAAATGGGGCATATATTATGAAGGCAGTAAAATTGGCCATGGGATGGATCGGATGAGCCAACGAAATAGAATGAGTTATTAAGAATGGCTTCCATTTTCCTTCATGAGCAACCAGGTGGATGGAGGCACACGGATGCACAGAAATGGAGAAGAGTGAAACAGGAGCAGATTTAACAAAACTGAGAATTAAAAACCTGAAGTTAGGGATCATTATTCTAGAAATATTGAGAAGAAAGATATAATGAAAGATAGACATTTGGAGTAGCAGAGGAGAAATCTTGAAGATGACAGTACCTTTAGTGAAAGTTCAACAGGGATAGACCTTGAGTGGTAGTCCTCATACTTAAGGGGAACAGTGGGCC